GAAAGCAAAGAAGTTAAAGGAAAAGGGAAAAACAAATAAGCAAGTAGAAAAGAATCAAAACAAAGAAACAAAAGTTTCAAAGATACAAACAGGGAGAGATAGTGTACTAATCAACAGTAAGCTGAACAGGCATTAGAGAGATAGAGGATTGATAAATAAATAAATAAATGAAAAAAAATCTCCAAGTTCAAATGAAATAAAGTTTCAGTCTTAATAATTTTGGTGTTAGTCCCTCAGCCTCCAATCCTGGAGATGGTGTCTCAGAAGTAGTTCTGTCGTCTCAACCAAACCAAACAAAACAAAGCAAAATACCACAAAGTGTCCCAAGTTCAAATGCAATACAGTTTCAGTAAGTTTTTCAGCATGCAGGTGTATTTCGGTTGTTGTCTCATCAAAGGAAGAGAGGAGTCTGGAGACAGTTCTGTGAATGGCTATCTGCGGCTGTGGCTCACCTGCCTGCTGCTGTCAGCCTGCTGTTGCTGGAGGCTTTATTCATGCAGATCTCAGGAGTGAGCTTAATACTCACTGGCCCATCAGGCTTCGTTTACTTAGAGTTCTCCTGGCCACTGCTCCAAGCTTTCCTCTTTCCAAGCACACTTGGAGTACCCCCTCTCCTGTGGAGTTCTCCTACCACTTTTACAAGCTTTCCCGCTCCTCGTTGCTGGGCATGTGCCGCCACTCCTGCCTTCTTCAGCCGGCTTGTTTATTTACAGCTCACGTGGGAAGTGGGCCTTCCCCCGTCTCCTGTGGAGTTTTCCTCCCATCGCCACTTTTACAAGCTTTCCTGCTCCTGTTTGCTGGGCGTGTGCCACCACTCCTGCCTTCTCCAGCTGGCTTGTTGTGAGGGGTTTCCCCACCCACCCTCAGCACTCAGGGCACCCCGCCCTCTTTGCTATGTGTGTCTTTTTTTGTTGTTATTGCTTGCTATTCAGTTTTTTTTTTCTTTTTTCCCTGGGTGGGGGGTCGGTCTGTCCAGGGGGCTATGCTGATCTGGCCCAAGGTTGTCTGTGGGAGTACCGCATGCCGCTTAGCTCACCTTGTGGTCTGCGTCTTCCCAAGCCGTCTGGGAGCTGGTGTCTGGCAGCATGGGAGCCCGCCTGGTTTCTCCGTTTAACGTGGGGATGCTATGCGCAGGCTGGAGGTGTGGAGAAGTCAAAGTTTTGCCTTTTCTTGGTGGTTTTTCCTATAAGGTGTATCTCTACCATCTCTCCAAGATTTTACTTTAGGAAGCATGCTTTCTGCTTCCTCCCTCTAGCCGCCATCTTGGAATCTCCCCTGAATACTTTTAGATAAAAGGAAATCAAAGTAACATCTCTTTGTACAATTACATTGGACTTGACTCTGAGAGGATGGGTTAAGTCTGAGCTATAAGCCAGATTACAGGGCAGTTAAGAAGGCACCAGGACTTCCTGTATCAAGCCTTTTGGTAGTAAAGGGATGGAAACAGGGAGGTTGGTTCCTTGAAAGATAGGCAGAGAGAGTTGAGAAGTTTGTTTCTGGCTTGTAGGTAAGTATACTGGAAAGAGGACTGGAAGACAGTTTAAGCACATCCATAGACCAAAAGGAACAATTCAGTGGAGATTACATGGATTCAAAGGAATGATAGAAAGATGAGGCTCATGAAAGAAGAAGTGTGAGTGAAGACCCAGGAAAATAACAGCAGAAAGGAGGAATGTCAAGTTAGTCTAGTTTGGCTCATGTTAGTCTTAGTAAATTAGCAGGCCAGACCATTTGAAGATTATGTAACTCAACCCTTTGTAAGATCCCAGCATCTTTTGCAAATACAGTGCCTGTTGCTTACTTGAGGTATGAAGGCTCACGTGTTTCTGTTCTTCACTGGCTTAGATTGGTCATTTGGTAAATTTTTAGTAAGATGCTTGCTTTAGTTTAGTCCTGTTCATTATGTTTAATGCTAGTCTTTCAGTGACTTTGTGGAGCTTTAGCTAAAGGCTGGAAAGCCAGAAAGATGTGGGTGTAGCTACTGTGCTATGCAAATGATGAGTGCTAAAATGAGAGACAGATCACATGTGAGCTGGGGTGCCCTCTCCTTGTTTTGGTGCTTGGGACCAAACCCAGGACCTTGCACATGGTAGCAAGTGCTCTACCACTGAACTATACCTGCAGCCATTAATTTTATAACAAAGTGTGGCAAGTTCCAACACATTTGTTTTTAGTCAAGGGGATAAGCAGACCTGCTGCCTGAGATTTAGTAGGCCTTTCTGGCCAGTGTAGAATCCTGTGTCATCCCCTGAATTTAGAACATCATTTCTCCACTAGTCCAGTTCACTAAGAGACTTTGTTTGCATTTAGGCACAACCATATACTTGAAGAACCTGTACACTGAACTCACAGGATCTGCTGTCCACTTGCACAAAGCATAGGACATGATTCAGAAGGCATCCAAAATTCCTGTCTCTACCTCCTGCATAACAGATTGCTTCTTTCTCAGCCTAGCGACCCTCAATCAATTCTCTAACCAAAGATCCACTATGGCAGCCTATCAAGGCTTCCACTCCCCATGCAGCTTTGGCTAGAAGAAAATCAGTCTCCCTAGTACCCCATGCTATAGTCAGGTCATTTGTGGCACCGAACTGGGCATGTTCATACCAGCTTATGCTACTGCCTGCATTTCAGGGCCTCTCTCTTCCCTTGGCCACATCTTCTAGTGTTCAGTGCTGATATCAAATCTCACTACCTCCAGTGAACCCTTTTGGTTATTCTGCTTTGAAGATGACTCCTTTTTGCACCTCTGCACTCATTGTGTCTGACCCTGCCACACAGCATGTATTTCTATATTGTTGTGATCATCCCTGGTTATCTGGTACATGCTAGTATTGTCCTCCCTAGACTGAAGAGAGACCTCATTTTCATCTTTAATAACCCTCACAGTGCTGAGCACCTAATAGACAGTTTCAGAGTACAGATTAGCTCGTTGGGTTTTTCCCCTTGGTATACTAATACAAATTCAGAATTAAGACTGTTAGAAATCATTTCAGTGTCCCCTCTGCTTGTGTCACCTTTAAGACATATTTACCAAGTTATTTAGTCTCTAACTGGACATTACAGTCACCCCTAAGATTACCTATTTCATTTTAATAATTAAAGGCTAAAAACATTGAGCTAAAACTCTCACACTTTAATCTCTACCCATTGGTTTTCATTCAGACTTTTAGTAGTGAAATTCTTTTTTCCAGGTACTATCCAAAGATAATGCTTCTAGTCATCATTTTTCTTTTTCTTTTTTCTTTTGGCCCTACTGGAATTTGAAGTCTGGGCCTTGTATTTACTAGTTAGGTGCTCTACCAGTCCAATTTATGGTGTTTCTAATTCATTTCTGATCGTTCCTCCAGATTTTTTGCATATTACAAGGATTCGAGTACCTTTATTATCCTGGTCATTCTCAACTGGTATAGGTTGACTGTGCACTTCTTACAAGTAGATTATTGAGTACAGTACTCTATCTAGATGGGAGCTGATGACCTTTAAACTCTGTTGAATAATATATTTTCATTAAAATGTACTCAGAGACTGCATTAGGTTTTTGAGAACTTGGTGATTTGCACCAAGTCAATTAAAATCTTGAGCCTTTTTCATATGTTTACTTTTCACCTGTTGGTCTCATCCTGTACTTACGTGTTAGTTTGAATATAATGCACAGAACTTTGCATTTAAGCCTAATATTTCTTCTTTTTTTTTTTTTTTGGCAGTACTGGGGTTTGAACTCAGGGCTTCACACTTGCTAAGCAGGTACTCTAACCACTTACCTGAGCCATTCCAGCAGCCCTAAACCTGATATTTCTTTATGTAAGATTTACCTCATTATTTAGTCTTTAAAATCTTAGCTCTTACTCTTATTATTTCTGAGGCTCAACTTCTGATCAACTGCAGATTTAGTGAGCCTGTCCTGTGTGCCATAATCAAATACATTGATTAATAATACTAAACATAGGTAAACTCACAAAGCTAATCATCAGAGAATTTCCTTCAGGTTCACAGGGGACTTTTGAATCTTATCTATGAGTTTATCTACTGTCAGATGCTTGTCTTGAGGTCAGAGATGCCTGCCTTTCCAGGCTGGTCACTATCGAGAATAGAAAATGTGAGAGATGAGTATGGCTATAAAGCGGTAGCGTACTCAAGTTCAAACCTCAGTATTGCAGAGAGAGAGAATGTGAGAATGTGATTTGAAACATCATATACACATCTACAGGTAGAATATGTGGGCAATAGTGGAACTTGGGGGAGGAGGTGAAGGAAAAGAGAATGATAGTTAACAATACAAAATACTTCTCATTTGCTCAGGTAGAGGCCATAACGATATATACTGAAAGCTGCCGAATAATTGGGGTGTGGAAGGGAAGGAGTAAGGGAGAGAACAGAGGGGGTTAAACTGACCAGAGTAAAGCATATTCACAGCCTGGATACATTGAGAAACCCCTTTGAATGTTGACTTTGGAATTAATAATGAAAGGGAAGACTGTAAATAGGTACAGTGTGTGGAGGGGATACTTGTGGCAAGGGGGTGGTGAATGGAGAAGATGATGATCAAGGAATAGGGTTGATGGTCTTCATACACATAAAGGAAAAGAGAGTGATGAAACCTCTTGTTATTACTTTAAGTGGGATGGGGAAGAGGGGTCTGGGAGGGAGATAGACGGGGCTATCTAACCAATGTACAATGTAGGGCTATCCAGACTTGTCAAAACAAACCCCAGAAAGAAGCTGTGCCCCTAAGTAAGTTATTTCTCCTTGGCTGAGGGAGGTCCTTGAGAGACACTCAGTTGAAAGCCATGGCCACCATCTGCTTACATCTTGGGGAATGGGCCTCTTGAAGGACTGAGTCTGCATAGTATGCTATGGTGTCCACTACAGGAAGTGAATATGACTGGTAAAGAAGGAGGCATGGCAGTAGGTAATTAAAATTTAGGGGAACATGAATGCATGGGTAAACTTAAGATTTTGCTTTGGGAATTAACTGCTCTTTATTCTGTTCTCCATAGTATTATGCAGTTGCTTGGTGCGTTTCCTTCACCCAGTGGTCCTGCCTCTCCCTGTAGTCTGGTGAATGAGACCACTTTGATCAAATACTCCAGGCTGCCAACCATAAACAAGCATAGTTTCCGGTACTTTGTCTTGGATAACAGTGTCATCCTGGCAATGCTGGAGCAACCCCTTGGAAATGAGCAGAGTAAGTTGCAGCACGTCAAGCCTCTGTACTGCTAAATCAGTGTGTTCATCAGTGCTATCAGGGAAGGAAAGACTGAATTCTAAGTATTTATGCATTTGTCAGAAAGACTTTGAGCTGTGAGATAATAGCACCTAAGAAATAGAGGCTTAGAAAACAGAATATACATATTAAATAGAATTATTTAATGGCTCTTTATGTGTCTCTGAAATATCAGAAAGGTGCTTTGTTTTGTAAAAAGTTTATCTTAATGGGCTAGTTTATGTTTGTTGTGTATAAAAATTGGTCTTTCTTTCTTCCTTGTGAGGTTTGGATCCTGCCCCTCTACTCTCTTGGCCCTTGCCCCTCATTGTCCTATTTTAGTTATTGCCACCACAGAGGCTAGAAATTTGAGGAGTCATCTTTACTTTCTTGTGTTACTTCCTTATATAATTAGGTTCCAAGTTTCTACCTCCCCACTGCTCTTTCCTTTCCTCTGTATGCCTCACAATATATCCAAATGCAGGGCCTTATCTTTTCTTACCTAGATTATTGCAGATGCTTACCATCTGGTCTGATTTTCCCCTTGCCAATTCCAAAACTTGTTTATACTTACCTCTGCCCTATTTGTTGTACCTTAGTGTTCATCCTCAAATACAGACCTGGCCTACTTGAAAACTTTTCAGTGATTTACCACTGACAAAACATGCATTGTTTTCCTCTCTTCCCTCCTCCCAGTAATAAACCATTTCAAAGTACAATTACCAGTGCAACTCAAACTACTCCAAGAACATTTTTTCCTAATGGCAGCTGGCATCAACCAGTATGCTAAGACAGCATTTTCTCAAAGAGAAGTACATAGCTGGAAAGTTGAAGGAAAATAAGGGTTATAGAATCTGAGGGCATAAAAGGTCCCAGGAAATCACCTGGTGTATAGTTCCCTCATTGACAGGTGAAGAAATTCAGAGAGACTTAGAGAAGGTATGTGACTTGCCAAGGATAACTTGAGAAGTATATGATATGGCTAGAAGTCAGATTTTCTAAGCACAATACTGTCCCTTTTCTGTTGTTTTTGTCTTACCATAATAGGATTTTCTCAGTGAGGAAAGGTACCTTCTTGCCTTTGCAAAGGTGAACAAAGTCCCATGCAAATTTTGTTGACGTGTGAGTAGGATCTCATAAATGCATAAAATGAAAGTGAAACATTGCCCTGTAGTTTGGGATAAAAGAATACAATCAAAGATTTCTATTAGGTTTTAGTGAGACTAGTGATTTTAATATGAAATAGAATGGAGCTACTTATCATTGCCCACTTCAACAAGTACAGGTCCTCTGTCTTCTGTAGCTACCTCTTCCTTTTCTACTCTAGACCTAGGGCTTGCCTGGCCTTCTCTCTCTTGGCCCATTATTCATGATTCCTCTAGTCTTCTATTCCCAAGTCATCTGCTGAGGAATCTGCAAAGTCCCAGTGTCCCCTTCCTGCTTCCTGACTCTTTTCCAGGTTTTTTAGGATTTTCCTACTCTTACTCTAAGTAATTTCATTGCATGAGAACACTACCAAAATATAAATAATTTGAATTCCATACAAGGATAACAAGGATATTTTAATAATTCATTATAATAGCTAGTAACAGAATAAATGAGAGAACTAAGGAGACAAGTCTGACTCCCACACCTAAGACAAAAGAAGAGAATAAAAAGGATCTGGGTCCCTAAGGAAGTCTGTCCTGAGTTCTTATACTCCGTGCTCCTGAACTTGTGCTGGGAGAAAGCAGTGCCTGCTTGGAGTGGGCAGTGGTGCATAAAGCCATGACACTACGGACAGCCAGTCCATCTTCCTGCAATAAGGAGTCCCAACACTGAGGATTAAGAATGCTTGCCAAGACAGCATTTTCCAGAAAACATGGGTACCACTGGAGGTGTGTGAGATGATGAGAGTGGAAACATTACTGAGCATGATTTTATGTGTTTTTAAACATTTTTTAAAGTAAATAATTCACACTAAAATTCATGGTTTTTTGTTTAAAGTAATTCACAATTTCCTTTTTAAATGAATTTTAGTTAAAAATAGAATGGCTCAGAGTGAGATAATAGTACTCAGTACTTGGATATGGCAGAAACCATAAAGAACGTACACAGAAATTGAAATTTAGGAAGCACAGTGCTAGAGTTTTAATTATGAGATGCTCTGCAGTTGATGGTTGTTGTTTGAAATAAAAACTTTTGCACAAACATTTTATTCCAGATGATTTTTTCCCCTCTGTCACTGTGCTGGTTCGGGGAATGTCTGGGAGACTTGCTTGGGCACAACAGCTTTGCCTTTTACCCAGAGGAGCAAAAGCAAATCAGAAGGTATCTATCAAGAAGTGTCAGGGAACTGTATGGGCAGTACGGGCACATGTGCTGACTTAAAGGTTAAGTAACATTCCAACAAAAATCACAGAATATTTCTGATCCTTAGCCAGGTCCTCAGTGGGGTTAGTCAGAATCATCTTAGGAACCTGGAATTGCAGGTCTACTCAATTACTCTTTATTTTGCTTTATTTATTTATTTTATGATTATTCTGTAGACTTGTATTGTCGTCATGCTGAATTACTCTTTAAAGGCATCTTTAAGGCAGGGACATTTTCTAAAAGCTTTCCAGGTGATTCCAACATCCTTTTAGGAATGAGGACTGCTATTCTGAACAGTGGTCTCAGAATTTTTCTTTGCAATTTTAACTATAATGAAAGTCAGATATACTCTGGGCATGGTGGTCACACTTACAATCCTAGCACTTGGGAGGCAGAGTCAGGAGGATCACAAGTTTGGAGCTAGCCTGGACTATATAGCAAGTATGAGGCCAGCCTGGGCTATAAATAAGGTCCTGCCTCAAGAAAAACCATCACCAAACAAGTCAGATACACACATACATGGGGAAATTTTGGCCAAACCTTTAATATGTCTAGCAATAGGCCACACTTTGAAATTGTCTTGTATGTTTCATTCCTGTACAATTGCTAATATGCTAGATAGTTTTAACATGCAATATGATTTAACACAGTCTTTTATCTTGTGATAAAAGACTTTCCCATAATTACAATGGGAGAAAGTTGGAAATTCAGATAATAAAGAAGAGACTTTAAATGACCTATGCTTAGTCTGCAGAGTGAATCCTTCAGTGGGTTTCCGTCCAATCTTTTTCTGTACACAGTAACACATAAAATTTGAATCATTTGGTATACTGTTTTTTTAACTTACTACATTTTAACAGTTTACTTATGTTACTAAAAATTGTTATAAAATATGCCAATAAGTTTTACCTTCATTTGAGATATCCCAAAAATTGGAGTATGGGCCTAAAATCATTTAAATAGTTAGATGAGCTGTTTGTTAGCTGTGGGGCACACACCCCTATTTTCTCTTGATATCAGGATGCACATGACATTCAGTAAGCAGCTCTTGAAGCCTCTAAATTAGTGTTGAAACTGAAGGGAAGGTGAGCAGGACAGGAACTGAAATTTATTGAAGGCATGGTAGGTTCTTTTTTTGTTCCTTTTGTTTTTTAATTGCTGCACTAATGATCAAACCCAGAGTCCTTGCACATGATAGGCAAGGAAGTTTGAGTTTTAAAGCTCTGAAATACCTCACCCATTGGGTAGCACTGACTGTGGGAGGAGGTTTTTCAGACCTGAGTCAGTACAGGTCCACAAACCATTTATCAGTCATAAAACAGATAATAAGTTCATGTACATTTTTAGAAAATAAAACAAAATTGAGTACATGGGAGTATAGGTTTCCTGCCTTTACTGTTATCATTTGCAGATTCTTAGTGAGTTTTTTTGACTTGAAAGGCTAGGGAAATACAGGTATCAAAGCAGATCAGAAAAATGCATGTCATTACAGATGAGTATTGAACCATAGATAGTAGACATAATGTTATTTGTATTATTTTAACAGCTTTTTGTGCCTGAACCTCGTCCAGTTCCTAAAAATGATGTTGGATTTAAATACTCTGTGAAACATCGGCCATTTCCAGAAGAGGTGGACAAGATTCCTTTTGTGAAAGCAGATCTGAGCATTCCAGATTTGCACGAAATTGTCACTGAAGAAGTAAGATAAATTATTTTTACTTGTTAAAAAGGGGATGAATATAAAATTCTTAAATGATTTCTGTGGTGAAGGCATTGCTTTTAGTGTTATGGGAGGGGATTCATAAGATGACCTAAGTCTTTGTCATTCTGGAGGTTACCATGTAGCAGGCCAGGTGTCCAGTCTGATTGACAGGAACTGGACATCTCTTAGAGAGTCACCAACTGACTGGGCTGGTCCACTGTAGATTTCAGTAGTGTGGTGACATGGTCCAACTCTGTAAGTAGAGGATATCTGGGTAGTACAGGAAGAGGGCTTAGTCTTGGAGAGGGACTGCCTCCTTTCCTGCCTAGCTGAAGGGAACAGAGATGGAGTGGTGTCCTTTCCAGCCAGGAGAGGGAAGAGCAAGGTTAGGCTATCAGGATTTTTTTTTTTTTTGGGTATGGTTTTAACCTTGAAACATGTTTGCTTAATTTTATGAATAAATTATGTACTGAACTGAAATATAGTGTGGATCACTTAAAATTTTCATTTTCTTTGTCACTTTTTGGTTTATTTTTGTTTTTAAATTAAGAATAACTATTATTTTTAAAATAGTTCCCCCAAATGAAGTATCTAATTTATTTCAGTTAGAAGAGAGACATGAAAAATTGAGAAGTGGCATGGCCCAGCAGATTGCTTATGAAATACACCTTGAACAGCAGAGTGAGGGGGAGTTGCAGAAGAGAAGCTTCCCTGACCCCATTACGGATTGCAAGCCACCACCTCCTGCCCAGGAATTCCAAACAGCCCGCCTTTTCCTCTCTCACTTTGGATTTTTGTCCTTAGAGGCATTGAAGGTAATTTTTGTGAACTTTTATGGGTAAATAAATACATAATCATAATGTATTCATGAATTAATATTCAGCTGATGATGGCTATAATTTTTATAGGGACAGAAGAAAGATTTTTTTTTTTGGCAGCACTGAGGTTTGAACACAGGGCCTCATGCTTGCTAGGCAGGCACTCTTAGCACTTGAGCCACTCTGCCAGCCCAGAAGAAAGATTTAAAAAAAAAAAAACAAAAACTACTTCCAGATTTCATGTATCTTGCACATAGTAGATGAAGTTCTGTGCTGATACAGGTTAGGTATGAGCTCAAGTACAGTTGACGCCATGAATCATTCAGAGTTCTATCTGAGGAGACTGCTTTGAGAATGCACCAAACTCTGATTTTTTTTTTATTTGATTAATTTATTTATTTGCAGTACTGAGTTTGAACTCAGGGCCTTACACTTGCCAGGAAACGCTCTACCACTTAAGCCATTCCACCAGCCCCCAAACTCTGAATTGTCTTGGTGATGTAGGACCTGTATTACTCATATAATGAAATCTACAGATAATTAGAAAAGGAGTATTAAAATCTTCTCCTAGTAAACTTTCCTACTGAAAGTATGTGCTACAGTTGACTCAGCTCTTTGATGTTACTTTTAAAAAGACTGAAGTTAATTCTTAGGTTTTTTGTGTTTGTCTTGTGGTATTGGGTATTGAACCTGGGGCATTATGCATGCAAGGCAAGCAGTCTCCTAGTTAGATAGATCCCCAGCTTTAATTCCATAGTATTTGTAAGCCAAGCCCTTCTATGTTGTGCAGTTGGTAAGATCAAACTGTCTAGATTTATGTGCTGGCATCACTGCTTCCCTGCTGTGTTGTGGACAAGTACCCAGCTTTTCTGAATCTTAGTTCCTTACCTGTAAGGTAGAGATGGTAAAAGTATTCATCTCATTAGTTGTGTGAAGATTGAGTTAACACATTAAGATTCTTCATGCGGTACAAAACACAAAAGGAAGCCAGCCTATAAGGTAAATATTGCCATTATTTTTAATTCCATTATTTTTAAAAGAATTTTACAAGTCAAATGATGTTTTCCTTGTTTTACGGATACAGAAGCAAGCTAAAAAATATGAAATAACTTGCCCAAAAGGAATTCAGAGTTTCTTCTAAAGCCTGTTTGTTTTTAAAAGTACAACTGAAGACTGGGACAAGAAGTTGCTTATTAGCCGTGTGTAGTGGTGAACACCTGTAATCCCAACTACTTGGGAGATAGAGACACAAGGATCATGGTTTATTTGAAACCAGCCTGGGCCAAGTTAGCAGGAGAGCCTGTCTGAAAACCCAACACCAAAAAAACAAAACAAAACCACAAACAAACAAAAGGAAAGGGGGCCATGGGCCATGATTTAAGTGATAGAGTGAAGGCTCTGAGTTCAGTCTCCAGTATTGGGGGTCCAGTGAGGAGTTGCTTATTGGCCAAGTTGTCCCCTGCCCTTACTCTTCCTACCTGGCTGTAGGTCATTTACCTTTTTAGGCAAGGAGGAAGACATTGTTGTTCAAATTTTAATTTTGGCATATATAGAGAAAATGTTTTACACTGTGGAAAGCTGAGTGTGTGATGGGAGTATGAGCATAAAAACTCTTAAGTGCAGAGTAAAAGAGCGAAGGAGAAAATAACAAGACATACAGTGGTAAATATGAAAGCAGAGGACAGAGGTCCAGCCTACAGATGATTAATGATACTTACTCCTAATAGAGAAAAATGGACCGAGGAGAAGGAACAAATAAAAATAAAAGAGGTAATATATCTCAGCGGTGGAGCATTTGCCTAGGACATGCAAGGCCCTGGGTTCCATCCCCAGGACCACAATATATATATCAAAAGGATCACATCCTGTGGACTGCAGGGAAACAAGAGGAACCCTAATAGATTTAATTTTAGTTGAAAATTTTAAGCCATCAAGAAAAAGAACAATATTCTTGTGTTTTTGTTTGTATCAGAATACAGAAAAAAATCAGAAAGTTATGGGATTTGTGTGTGTGTATGTGGCACTGCAGTTTGAACTCAGGGCCTCATGCTTTCTAGGCAGGTGCTCTTACAGCTTGAGCCACTCCACCAGGCCTACATGTTTCATTTTATGAATTTTAGCATATCTCTGATAACTTAAACATGACAGCACATGTATACAAAACAACTACAAACTGATCTTACTCATGAATTATGTGTGAAAGTATTAAAGAAATGCTAATTGAATTCTAAATTAATAGCATTTTCAATGAATTATCTTACACACCCAAGTAAAATTTATCCCAGGAATTCAGGGAGAATTAATTGTTGGGAAATATTAATAAAACTACTAAGAAGATAATTTTTGATTGTATTAAAATATTAATAAAATGATAAATTAATATAATAGACCAATATTAACTCTGACTTTGAAAAAAGCAAAATTTAGGACTTACAGTATAATCCTTAAAGATCTCTCTAAATGCAGCCCATGAGCAAACTAGAGGCACCTTTTTGTGAAAAGCAAAGATAATATCAAACTTGACCACTATTTAGCAATGAGAATTTCTTACACAATGAATTTTTTTTAACTTTTTGGTCGTAAATAATTATAAATTAATAGAAGTTGTACATTAAAAGTCCAGGGAGATTTCTTCCTATGATGACATCTTACATAGCTATAGTACAATATGAAGATAAAGTCAATAAAATATTAAAAGAAACTAAATAAAAGGGCACTGGTGGCTCATGTGTAATCCTAGATACTTAGGAGGCAGAGATCAGGAGGATCACACTTTGAAGCCAGCCCCAGGCAAATAGTTCCTGAGATCTTATCTTACAAAACCCCATCAAGAAAAAGGATTGACAAAGTGGCTCAAGTGGTAGAGCGCCTGCCTAGCAAGTATGAAGCCCTGAGCTCATACCCCTGCTGTAAAAAAAAAAAGTAAAAATCATTGGTAACAAGAAGACAGTTTGCAGGTAATATGATTCTTAATTAGACAACCGTAAAAGAAAGCTGGGCATGGTGATACATGTCTGTAATCCCAACTATCTGGGAGGCAGAGATTGGGAGGCCTGTGGTTCCAGGCCAGCCTGAACAAAAAGTTAGCAAGACCACATATCAACAGATAAGCTGGGCATGCTGGTTGTGACCCAAGCTACACAGAGGCACAGGTAGGAGGATCATGGTCCATGGCTAGCCACAGACAAAAGCAAAGGACCCTATCCAAAAAAATAACTAAAACCCAAAAAAGGCTAGGGCATGGCTTAAAGGGTAGAGCACCTGCCTAGCAAGTGCGAGGACTTAAGTTCAAACCTCACTACTACCAAAAAAAAAAAGCTAACCTAAGGGAGTCAAGAAAATATCTTTAAATGAGTTATGATTATCACATAAAAAGGTGTGGAAGTCAGTGACTTCCTATAATGTCCAGTTAGAAAAACAATGTAAAAACACCCCATTTGATGCTGACAGAAGTTACCTTAACAAAGTGAGTATAAGACTTAGAGGAAGAAACTTCAGTGAGTTAAGAGGTATAAGATACATCTATGTTAATGTTTCTGGATTAAAATGTCATCCTGAAGAAGTGAGAAAAAAAAAGTATAAGAACGCTGCCCACAGGTATATTGCAGCGTGCCAAGGCCACAGTTCCTTATCCCTGATTCCAAATTCAAAGTGGAAAGTCAGGAGTTTTCTGTACGCTTGTAGCAAATTCATTGAGTGGTAAAGTCTGCCCTGAATTGACATGGAGCTGTTTGTAGTCTTCACTTACTTCACTTAGTGTGAATTACTCTTTTTTTCTTTTTTTTTTTACTACCGAAAAATGAATGTCTGTGATTATAGAGTGTTGCCCCAGCCCTTGTTAGGAGTGTTATGCAAGATTAGCAGACCAGGCTCACAGTCTTTGCCAGTGCGAAAAAGAGTAATCCTTGCCACCCATGAGGGATGCTTTCCTGAAAAACACTGTGTTGGCAAATCCTTGTTTGGCAAGATCAAGAGCTCAAAGAAGGTAAGGGATTAAGAGGAGAGCAAAAGGAAAAATGCATTTTAAAATTTAATAGATTTTTATTTGTTAGAGAAGTTTTAGGTTTATAGAACAGTTGAAGATAATCCCATAGCTTCCCCTATTACCATTCTGCGCTGGTGTATTAAATTTGTTACAGTTGATGAATTATATTGATGCATTATTAACCAAAGTCTATAAATCATAGCAGAGTTCACAGTTATATAGGTCTGTGAGTTTTGAGAAATGTAGAATGCCATGTATCTACCACTACAGTATTCTATGGATAGTTTCACTGCTTTAAAAATCTACTGTGGTCCACCTATTTCACCACCACCCCTAGACTCACATAGATCCCTGGCAAACACTGATCTTTGTACTATTTTTCTATAGTTGTGTCTTTTCCATAATGTCATAGAGTTGGAATCATATAGTATGTAATCTCTCACACTATATAGTTCAGTTAGCAATATGCATTCAAGGTTCCTCCATGTCTTTTTGTAACTTGATAGCTAATTTATTTTTATTGCTGAAGATATTTAATTGTACAAACACATTACAGTTTATTCACCTATTGAAGGACATCTTGGTTGCTTCCAAGGGTTGGAAATTATGAATACAGCTGCTATAAACATTCATGTGTAGGATTTTGTGTAGATATATGTTTTTGAGTCATTTGAGGAAATAGCAAGGCATACAATTGCTGCATTGTATTTAAGTCTATGGTTGTCTTGGGAAGAAACTGCCAAACTGAGGGCTGGGGGCACGGCTCAAGGAATAGAGCACCTGCTTAACAAGAGCAAAGCCCTGGTTTCAAACTCCAGTACTGCCAAGAAATTTTTAAAAGAGAGAAGAAAGAAATTACCAAACTGAGGACTGAGAATGGTAGTACACACCTGTAATCCCAGGTACTGGGAAGGCAGAGATCAGGAGGATCACAATTTGAGGCCAGCCCAGGCAAAAAGTTAGTGAAAACCCCACGTCACCAAACAAGCTAGGTATGGTGACACACATCTGTAATTGTACCTATGTGAGAGGCAGAGGTAGGGTTATAACAGTCCAAGGCTGACCCTGGGCAAAAAGTATGAGACTGTCTGAAAAATAATTAAAGCAAAAAGAAAAAGGGCTGGGGTTGTGACTCAAGTGGTAGAGTGCCTGCCTATCAAGTGCGAAGCTGTGAATTCAATCTCCAGTACTGCCAGAGAGAGAGAGAGAGAGAGAGAAAGAAAGAGAGAGAGAAAGAAATTGCCAAACTTCCAAATTAGTTCTAGAAAGCATAATATTCCAAAGAAAACCAGATCCAAAATTGTATACATATTGTGATGTCAGTTGTAACAAAAAAAAAAAGGCAAGTAAAAGAACTGAAAGGAAATATGAAAAATGTTAACTAATTTCTTTAGATTATGTTTGTGTTCATTCCTTCCACTATCTAATTTTTAATTTTTATTAAACTGTGAGCAAAGCTCGGTATGGTAGTGCCCACCTGTAATCCCAGCAATTGGGAGGGTAAGGCAGGAGAATCATGAGTTCAAGACCAGCCTGGGCTACATAAGAGTTCTAGTCCCATTTGGACCCTGTCATAGATGGATAGATAGATAGATAGATAGATAGATAGATAGATAGATAGATAGATAGATAGATTACAAAACAAGTACGGCTTTAGAATAATGATAAGAGATAATAATAGCTCCTTTTTCCCTTTGGTGATAGGAACCTGCAAATAGTCGTCTACCTCCTCATCTTATTGCACTTGATTCTACGATACCTGGGTTTTTTGATGATATTGGATATCTGGATCTCTTGCCATGTCGTCCTTTTGATACAGTTTTTATTTTCTATATGAAGCCAGGTCAGAAAACAAACCAAGAGGTAAGACTTCTGAATTTTTGGAGGGAAGGAGAAAGGGGTAACTTTTTGTTCTATAATTATATGAGATTTTACATAAAACGTTTATACTTGCCCTTGAAATGAGAATTTTATAATTGATGCTTAAAGACTTGTGTCCCAGTCCAAACTGAATGAATTAAAACTGATGCTTACTGTCCTGAGTCTTTCAAGAAGTGTGGTTTAGAGTAAGTAGAGCTGTAGCATATCTTTCTTCTGCTTTAAGGAATTCCTATTCATAAGTTAAATAAGCTAACTTATGGAAGGTTAGTCACAAAAGCTAAAGCTAGGCTTGGTTGCTCAAGAAGAATAGAACAACAGTAGTGAATATTTACTGACCTTCTTCCCTGAGCTTCCCTGAGGCCATGGTACAGAAGTGAGCCATAGGCTTTCCCCATGAGGACCGAGCTCTCCTTCCTAACCACATAAGCACATCATTTCATTTGAGGCATGCATAGTGCACTCAGAGGAAAATGACAACTGAGATAAGAGTAAGGAACAAAAACAAGACACAATTGTGTATATGGAACAGAAGAGCCACAAAGATGAGGAAAAGTCTAAGATAGGTAAGAATGGAAAACTGAAAGCAAGTGGCAGGAGACTTGACATTTCTGTTGAAAATAAAGAGTTGAAACATGGAATACACAGACAGTTACTACTGGTGACTAGGAAAGGGCCAAACGAAGATGTGTGAAATAAAGTATTCAGATGTGTTAGGGTACCGCTGTTAGGGTACGAGGCTGACCACCTTCTGAGAGGACAAAGGACACACAAGGCGAGGTTTATTTCTAGCCGGCTAGGGTCCGAGCATCCGCCTGACGCAGCAGGTTTCAACAAGGACCCTGAGAGGAAAGTTTAAGCAGGTCTTATACTCTTTAAAGCATCAATCATCGTCACATAGGAATTCCTCACGCCCCTGAGGTCACATTTTCCTGATCTTGCCCACATCCTGATCTTGCCCACATCCTGGTGGTGGGGTAATATTATTTATTGGGAACTGGGGAAACACCAGAGGCTTACTTATCAGGTTACAAGGAATGTGTTCTCCCATAAATTAGGGGCTAGTAGTGGAATAGAAACCTAAGGTTTAGATAAGAACAGCAGAGGAATCCTGCTTTGGAAAGTTTATTTACAAGTGGAGACAAAGAAAGGCAGGAATGGGTGCTTATCTCTGCATGGTGCCTTTCATCTTGGTCCCAAACTTTTGCATGGCTCTAATGAGCAATTCCTCACAGCTCTGTCTGAGGTTACAGCTTTTAATTGACAGTTTACCATGGTTTACAACCCTGTTTCAAGGCTATCTTCCTCTTCACAAGGTTACCCAAGGGTCATGCCAGTTACAGCTGATTTCTAGGCTAGGTGGGCTGCAAGTTAAAGTACCCCAACACCACGACTATATGATCTTGGAATTTTCCTATAATTATCTTAAGACCATTGGCAAGTCAAATTAACAAACCTTTGGAAATTTACCAAAATTACAAAATGTTTCCATAAGAAAGCACTTTTCATATTATATATTGGTGAACTATTAGAAAAGAAGTTCACAAGAGAATTCTCATTTCTTGTTATTGATTCAGTAAATATCTAAAAGTATCTGCTTTCTGTTAAGTCCCAGGGTTACACTGGCACACAAGATCTGTAAGGTCCTGGTCCCCTAGGACTATTGTCTAGAGGAGACAACCAACATTACATATGGTCCCACAGTAAAGTATGTTAATAAGGGCATTAAAGCTTGTCTTAGGAGTTATAACAGGTCCTAAAAGAGAAGACATTTCAGCAGTATCTGAGGTGTACATTGACAATAGATTAAAAAGCAGAAGTAGATTGTTTCTGACAAAGTAATGACATGTATGAATTCTCAAGAGGTAAGAAAGCATTGCATATTCTTGAAATTCATGGGGGACAAAGTGCTTGGAGTTTCAAAGATGGTAGGCTAGCAGCAGCCAGGGATGAGACTGGTGAGCTGAGTCAAATTGGATTATTTACAGGGGCTGGGACTCTGTTTTGAAGGAAGACTAGCACATTACTCACTTGAAAATAATGGGGCCATTTTTCTCCTGCCTGTAAAAGAAGACACAAGCCCTTGAGGCAACTCCAAAACCAGTTCAGTTTCCTTAGGTTTCCAGGGGCTGAAGGTGACCAGGAAGATTCCCAGAGACTTCGTTGGAAATGTCTAAGTCACAGGAGATTAATTTTTGACTGTCAGCAAATTGTCTGCCAATTGAATTTGACTCACTCACTGCTTCTTGACTGTTTATTTAGCTTTTTTTTTTTTTTTTTTTTTTTTTTTAGGTACTAGGCTTTAAATTCAGGTCCTCACACTTGCTAGGCAGGTGCTCTACCACTTGAGCCACTCCACCAGCCAACTGTTTATTTTAAAAAATTCTCTTCTAGCCAGGCATGTATAATGGTGCACATCTGTAATCCCAGCAGGATCTCAGGAGGCTGAGGCAGGAGCTTGGAAGGCTTTTTTTTGTTTTTTAATCTTTGTGATTCTGGGGTTTGAATTCAGAGCTTCATGTTTGCTAGGCAAATGCTCTACTGCTTGAGCCATTCTGCCAGCTCTTAAAACCAGAGGGAAGTTGACTATTGTTAAACATCTACTGGTTTTTTTTCTTTTTTTTTTGGTGGCACTCGGGTTTGAACTCAGGGCCTCAGGCTTGCTAGGCAGGTGCTCTATCACTTGAGTTACTCTGCCAGCAAGGCAGGAGGATCTTGAGTTCGAGACCAGCCTGGGCCACATAATGAAACCCTATCTCAAAAACAAACAAATTTACAAATTGAAACTGGCTATCAAATCAGTTTCCTGACACTTGCTAAGAATATGAATGGATGTGGATAAACTAAACAAGTAAATTTGTAGAGACTGATTCTGTGCAGAAGATTCTGTGTAACTTCTCATATTTTTACTTGCACGGGCCTCTGTGTGGTCTTGACATAGATTAGCATTGTATGAATGACGTCAATGATTCGACTGCATTACAGTCATTTGGGGGGATCTTTTAAAAATGTAGTGATTCCAGGATCTTGCTTTTGTTAATTTTGATGTAGGTCTGGAAGAAGCTAAGGGAACCTTAGTTTTAGGACATTTCCCAGATGATTTTGATATCCTCTTCGTCCTGTTCCCCTTTTCATTTTTAATTTGGAGAGGGGTTTCTTATTTTCCTACCTTAGAATTTATTCAGCAGTAGCACTTTTGTAGTCTTGAGCCAGATAATTTTTTGTTGTAGGGATGGTCCTGTGTATTTTAGAACATTTAACAGCATCTTTGGCTTCTACCACTAGATATCAGCTTTGTTCCACCAGTTGTGACAACCAAAAATGTCTCTAAACTGCCAAATGTCAACTGGAGGTCAAAATCATCCCCCAATGAGAACTACTGTTTTGGAACAAGGAACTCACCTTTGTGAGACTGGTAGAAAGCCCAAGCATTACACTTGGTACTTAGTGAAGAAAAGAGAAGAGAACCTTCTGTTTGCTCCCTTTTTCCTACACCTGTGTGATTATTGTGTTTCTCATTGACCAGTCTGTTAACTCTGTGAAGGCAAGGACATTGTGTCTTTTGTTTGTTTTTGGTAAATGTGTCTGCTCAATAATCGTTTCACCAGGAAGTGAGCTCAGGCCAGTACTTATATTATCTCATTTAACCTTCATGACCATTGTTGTTATCCCCACTTCACAGATCAAAAAAGTGAGACAGATTAAGAATCTTGCCCAGCGAATTCAAGTTTGTCTAGCTCCAGAGTATGCTTTTTTCACTACAGTGCTGTATTCTCCAATTTATTCTGAACTAGGGCTTGATTTATCAGAAGCTTCAGCTTACCAGTATTTATGAATTTAATATGTTCTTGTGTTTCCTTCCTGATAGCTGATTATTGGTATATATTTCAGATTTTAAAGAATGTGGAGTCCTCCAGAAATGTTCAGCCACATTTCCTAGAATTTTTGCTGTCCCTTGGCTGGTCAGTTGATGTGGGCAGACACCCTGGTTGGACAGGACATGTTTCTACCAGTTGGTCAATTAACAGTTGTGATGACAGTGAAGGGTCTGAACAAGGTAAAACTCAAAATGCATTTGTTGTTTCTTGTTTTGTTACCCTTGACTTCTCTCCCTTTAGTATAAATTTGTAGTCTTGTTTAAAAAAATAAAGTCATAATAAAGGAAAAGTCTTCCCTCAGTCCCAGTCCTCACGGCGGTCACTCAATAGTTTGTATATTCTTCTAGACATTCATCCTAACAGTAGGATGAATTAATACAAAATTAGTGAATTATTACAATGCAAGAAGGTTCCTTTTTTTACAATGTGAACACACAAATTAATTTTTTATAAAAATGCTGTAATAAGTCTAGGTTATGTATAATCAATAGTTTCTTAACAAATAAGTTTTGTCTAATAAATACAGTTTTCGATTAACATATGTTTTATAGATTTTGTGGCTGTCAAAAAAGTCAATTAAAGGTTACATTCTTAAGGCATTATATCAAAACCTTTGTAGTAAACAACTGTCAGAGATTCTTGCCCATCTCTACAAATCCTTCTGAGGAACTATAATCGGGATAACACGGACCAGCACAGTATAAATTTAAACTTAAGACCCCTGCCCCACCTGGCTAATGCATTTTGTTCCTGAGCTCCTGAGGTCACTGGAGTGAGTAATGCCTGTGTCCAGTGCTTTGAATCCTCAGAGTTCTGGTGTCAGCAAGATTAAACTCTATCAAGATTTTCATCAAATACCAACTGTTGTGACTTGACCTCTAGTTTCTTCTAATTTTCACCAAAGTTGAAGCAAAGTATTTGGAGATGAACTGTAATTTTAATTTCTCTATACCCTTACGATATATGCTTGTGTATATCTGTACATCAGATTTCCATAAGTAGAATTGATTTATATCAAAGGATATGCACATTTTTTATTTTATAGATAGATCATTTGGGTGCTTATGGTTGAAGGTAATAGAAAACTGTTCCCATCTGGCTTAGTTTTTCAAGTTATTTGTTAGCTCACGTAACTGAAAATTCCAGAGATTGGTTAAGTTTTGGTATTATCTTGTCAGTACTCCTGTTTTATTTCTTTGTAATTTTCCTTTAGCTCTGTTCTCCATAGCTTTCCTCATAGTAAAGAAAGACAGGTTCTGGCTTTGCATGCACATGCCACACTAGCCAAAAGAGGAAAGGTAAGCTGGGTCTCAAAGTTCCTCTGTTGCCCACGTCCTAAACTACATAGTGATTAGACTATCTGGATCCTGATCCAATGAGAAGAAAGATGGAATGACCCTGGTAGAGATAGAGACAAGGCAGAGCTGGTATTTGGGGTCAGTCCCACCCACACTTTAGGCCTGCTACAGAGTAGGGTCAGGTGGAGTGGATGTTGGGTCAATAACCACAGTGTCCACTGCAGTAGATTCAGAGTGCTTTCAGAGTACATTATAGCCCCTGCCTGGTTTTTAAGTTAGAATATTATTGGAACTCAGCCACTCTCTTTTTGTATTGTCTGTGGTTGCTTTCATACTACAATGGCAGAATTAAGTAGTTGTAGCAGAGACCATATTCCCTGTAAAGCATAAAATATTTACTGTCTGGTCCCTTATGAGACATTTACTAACTTCTAATCTAAATTTCTTGTTTGCCACATCTCCACTAGCATCTGTTAGGAGAGAGAGTTTTATTATTAATGATAGTTGAGACTAAACATCTTTTCATATTTTTTGGTTTTGTTTTGTTTTTGATGGTACTAGGGTTTGAACTTAGGGTTTCACACTTGCTAGGCAGGTACTCTATCACTTGAGCTATTTCTCCAGCCCAGTCTTTTCATATTTTTCTTTCTTTCCTGAGAACTTGTTCATTTCCTCCCTCAACTTTTTGTCAAGTTGTTCATGTTTTATGTAGTGTTGGTAGGCATTGTGTTCATTTTGATTGAGAACTGTACTGGCTCTCAGGAGTATTTCTTTAAATTCATTCTTGTTGGTTTAAAGCAGATATTATTACTAACATGTCTATACATTTTTATATTATATCATTGGGCATCAGGAAAGGTAGAACAGAGGAGCAGTAGAGAAAGGACAGAAATGCCTTGAAAGCATGTACACACACACACACACACACACACACACACACATACTCTCTCTCTCTCTCTCTCTCTCTCTCTCTATCTCTCTCAACCAAAAGGACTGCCTCCATATTTTTTTACCTTATACAGGTCAGTCAGAGCCCCTCCCTGCTAATCAGAAGCGGCCTGCTACAGAGTATTATCAGAAACTATGAAGTTAAGATTTCATGATTTAATGTTAGTATAAAGACATTTAATGAGCATTTGTAGTTTTTTCTTGTATAGCGGTTGGTTTTTGTTTGAAACATTTAACCAGTTGGTTAACATTTTGTGAAGTGCAAAGATTGGTTTTTCCCATTTTCAGAAGCAGTAATGCAATGTTTCTTGTTCCTAGATGAAGTAATTTCCTCTGAAGATGTTGGAGCTAGCATTTTCAATGGACAGAAGAAGGTGCTGTATTATGCCGATGCCCTGACTGAAATAGCATTTGTGGTTCCTTCTCCTGTGGAGTCCTTAAGTAAGAGCATTTTTTGCATAGTGCTATTGTAGGATCTGTTTTTAAATTCACTGGTTTGTGCTGTATTACTGCATTGCAAGAGATTTTTAAGTCATGTAAGGCATTCTTCAGCTTCCAAAGCTATTAGATTATGCAAAGGTATAAGATACTATCTTCTTTTAACTTTCTGATGGAAAATAGTTAAAAACAAGCAGACAGATCCTCTAATAATCTTTAAATAGTAGAGTCTCACTTCAACTCTATTTTTGTCTTTCTTTCATCTAATTTAAACAATATGTAGAAACTTTAGTTTCTGGTTGTTCTTTTCTTTGGCAAATTTTGAGTGAGGCCCCACCTGTTTCCCTATTCCCATGTGAGAGCCTTCACATGAAACCCCATAGAATCCTACTACTGGAAGGATCTTTGGGTGATATCAGGCTGTCCCTGAGCAACCTAGAAAAGATGGTACTTGAGGCTATTCTTAAGGATTGGGAGTAATTAATCTCACAGTCTTATTTTGCCTAGAACCTTGGTTTTTTGCACATTAAGCCCAGTTTTTAATGCCTGACTAGGCAATAGATGGAAAATGTCACCTCCTTCTTCGTTGAGACCATCTGTAGGATGAGATACTGTGTCTCACACTTTCACAGTCTCATTCCCACGCTAATAATTTTTGTCTCCTAGCTTGGCAGATTCCTAAGCTTTGTACTTGGATCCTTGATTTGCCACTGTAGGGCCTTCCCTATCTCATACCCTGTGGTCATTTGTGTCTCTGGCAGGATGGGCTTTCCATGGTGTAGGTCAGTATCATAGCAGCTCTTTGCCTTCCTGTCAAGGCTATAGTCTGCCTTCTAATTCCAGAGGCTGGGCCTGTCTGTCTGTTATGGGCTGAACTCCTGCCTGTTTCTCTGACTGAGCTTACTTGCACCAGCAAGTCCTCCCAGAACGTTGTCCTCACACTACAGCTCCTGCAGTTGGGTCTTGGCCTCCTGTCATGAAACATGCCATATGTCCACTCCAATTCAGCTCCTCCTGTTTCTTGATATTTGTGTCCCAGTGGGTAGGGGAGGAAGAGTGTAGATTTTTTTTCTGTTTTGCTTTTAACTATCTATGTATTTGTCTCCCACAAGATTGTTTCTTAATCTTTGAGACAAGGTCTTCTGTAGTTTTTGAATGCACCACTGTCTCCTTGGCATGGTGCTCCATGATTGAATTGATAATAAGAATAATTCAGAGAATCACAGATGGCTTTTATTAAATGTTCTCTATTCTTACCTCAGTTATCTTGTAGAGTAAGAGCTGGCAAACTGTATGGAACCTGCCAAATTCAGCCAGGAATGGATTCTAATATTTATTTATGTGTTTGGTTTTACATTTTTAAAGGCTTATAAATAAAATACAAAGAAGAATATGCAACAGAGGCCTGTCTGGCCAGCAAAGCCTAAAATATTATCTGATCCTTTACAGAAAACTTCCGTCAGCCCTTGGTGCTAGAAACAGTGCTTTATTTAAGTGACTTTGGTTATACTAGTTAGCATAATTTTTTATTCCAAAGAAGTAGCAATAATTGTAATTGATTTTTTTCTTTACCCCATAGCTGATTCATTGGAAAGTAATATCTCTGACCAAGATAGTGACTCAAACATGGATCTCATGCCAGGAATTCTGAAACAGCCATCTCTGAAACTTGAGCTTTTCCCCAATCACACAGACAATCTTAATTCCTCACAGAGGGTAAGTTGCTTTCTTGATATAATTCAGAAATTTGTAATGAAGTGGGGATAATTATAGAATCATGTCTGAAAAGCTGTTAGCTTAAATCCAAAGAGAAATTGTAGCAGAGGACTGATTGATTAGTAACAAATCTTTTAAATCAGATTCTCATGATTTTCTTTTTTCCAATCTGTAACTGATAGATAATTCATTCTAAAATAACTTTAGTTATTGTCCTTGATTTTGCCATTCTTTGATTATGTTTGGTTCTCTCACCTATCCTTTTAAGCCATGGTTTTTATTTGTTCCCTATAATATCCAGTAAAGGTACAGTAGTAGCTATACATTCTATATCTTATAATGCAAGATTCAAGTTAAACAAGTGTGACTGTATGGCAGTGTTTTGGTGAGTAGTTCAATGCAGTAGTTGTCCTTATCTGCACTTTCACTTTCTGCCATTTTGTTACCCTTGTTCAATCATGATCCAAAAATATAAATGGTAAGTTCCAGAAATAAGCAGTTCATAAGTTTTAAATTATATACTATTCTGTATAACTTGATGAACTCTCATACAGTCTTGCTTCATCCCACTCTGTATGTAACTTATCCTTTTGTCCAGCATATGTACACTATATATGCAACCCACCTCTTAGTCAATTCATTGTCTCAGTGTGGCACTGTTGTATTGTGGTATTACAATCTTTGTGTTCAGGAAACTCTTATGAGGAGCCTATTAGTAGGTCACATGCTTCACTTATCATTGTGTAGACCTTATATCATCTCACAGCATCACAGGAAGAAGGATGAATATAATCTAATAAGATACCTTGAGAGAAATACCACATTCATGTAGCTTTTATTACAGTATGTTGTAATAATTGTTTTATTATTAGTTATTGTCAATATCTTTCCTAATTTATAAATTAAACTTTATCATAGGTATGTATAATAAAAAATCACAGTATATGTAGGATTTGGTACTAACTGTACCAAACAGTTATCCAGTAGGCATCCACTAGGAAATCTTTGAACATACACCTCATGGATAAGGGGAGACTACTGTGTCCAACTAAATATACTGAGTATGGTACACAGTCCCTACTATATATAAGAAGAGAGCCTCTTGCTCTTACACTTTTTTCTTATCAGCAGATGTTATTTCTTTATCTGTGTTTTCCCCTCATGTTATCTCCTAATCTTTACTGAAAAGTGACCAAGTAAGTAGTAGCAGGAACAGGATCAGGCCACAAAGAGTATAAAAAGATTGGTTTAGCTCACGCCTGTAATCCTAGCTACTCTGGAGGCAGAGATCAGGAGGGTCGCTGTTTGAAGCCAGCCCAGGCAAACAGTCTGAGAGACCCTATCTCGAAAAAACTCTTCACAAATAAAAGGGCTGGTGGAGTGGTTCAGGGTGTAGGTCCTTTGTTTAAACTCCAGTACCGAAAAAAAGAAAAGAAGATTGGTTTAGAACAAATGATAAAAAAAGACAAAAGAAGCATGAACTCGATTAAAGTTATTCCTCTGTTGTCCGGGGTTTTAGATTGGTTCCTTCTACAGAGAAAATAATTTTTAACATATGTATGTGCTTAATAAAGAACATGGGAGAAGTTTCTACCTCTAAAATTGATTTAGGAAAAAGCATCTGAAGGCTGATTTTGAACATGAGGCGTTATGAGGTCTCACAGAACACAGTTTGGAAAGGAATAAGTGGATTCAGGATGTCAGGCAGAGCAGACATTTGTGGCTGCTGCTCTGGTCCTCACATTCTGAATGCCAGCATAGTTAACTTCATACCCAGAGATGTTGACTCTTAAAGCACCATGTTTTAATCACTTATACATTGCATGCCACTAACAAACTAAAAATCATGTGATTATTTCAATGCAGAAAGAGCAGTTGACAAAATGTAATAGTCATTCATGAGAAAAATTCTGAGCCAACATGAATGGAAGTAAACCTCCTTAACCTGATACAGAGCATCAACTAAAAACATACAGCTAACACTACACTTATGTACTGTGCATTGTTCTTGAGTGCTCCTTCCTGAGATAGAGGACAAAGCCAGGCTGTCTTCCCTTACCACTTCTATTCAGTATGATAGTAGAGAAATACATAGAGAGGCAAGAAAAATAAGATGCACAGATCAGAAAACAAGAAGTAAAACTACATGTATTTGCAGATGACATGATTGTGTATGTAGAAAGCCCTGAGCAATCTATTTTTTAAATCCATTAAAACTGTTGAGTGAGCTTATCAAGATTGCAGGGAAAAAGGCCAATGTGTTGGGTAAGAGTTTAAGATGACGTCCCGTGACTATTGCCCCTGTATAATGTTCTTCCTGGCATGTGGTGGAACCTATGAATATAATGGGATAGCCCATGATTATATTGTATTATATGGCAATGGAATTTTGTGGGTATAATTAAAGTTGCTTTGAGTTAATAAAAAAGATTATCCACACAAACCTAATGTAAACCTAGGAGTCCTTTTATCTAGGGCTACAGGTTAGAGATGGAGGAAGTCAGCGAGTCAAACCAGGTTAGAAACATGCTGCTAAGTCTCTGAATGTGGCTGGATTCATTTGGGAGAAATCTCTTCGTCATTTATAGAGAAGAAACAAGAATGGCGCCGTGGACTCTAGTCATTTAATAAAGGCATATGTTTTTCTGTACTAACAGAGCAGTTTTAATTTTAAAATTCGACCTAAGTATAGGATTCTCCTTTCTGTATACATGAGCTTAGTTCAGGGCTTTAACACAAACTTAACTCTGCTGCATGCCCTAAAAGTGATACAGTTCAGAGTACCAGTTTGCTAAAGGGAGCCACATAGACCTATTAGCTTTGCAAAGAAACCTAAAGCCAATAGGGTGGCAGGGAAGCCAGAAGCACCTTGTGCTTATTAGTAAAGGCCCCCAAAACTCTTCTTTCTGCTGACAAGGACAGGGAATTAGGCACAGATTGCAATAGGAAACATTTGGTCTGGGAACTAGGAATGATTTGTTGTGGGGAATTTTCGAGATTAGGGTACTCTGCTTGAAATAGCAATGTTGCTTTGATTGGGAAAAAATGCCCACTTTCTGGCCATAATATGTACAGACTCAATCCCTTTAAGCCTTCATTAAAACATTACATTACAAATTTTATCACTATTAATGAAAATTATATTCATTCACTATTTCTTACCTTTTTTGCTTTGAGAATTTTAGGCCTTTATTTCTTCTTTCTAGGTTAAAACTGATAAACAGAAAAATGAGCTTTTGTCAAATATATTTCTCATTTTTTTCCTGAAGTCATTTTCATGATCTGTTACTTACATCACTGGGCATCTTGGTAAATGTATGGCTGGGTAGTGTTACCACATCAGTTCCTTTAACTCTCCTCTCTTTCATATAGCTCAGTCCCAGTTCCAGAATGAAGAAGCTGCCTCAGGGTCGCCCTGTGCCTCCCCTTGGACCTGAGACAAGAGTGTCTGTTGTCTGGGTGGAACGTTTTGATGATATAGGTACTGCATAAGGGTGTCATCCATAAATAAAATAATGGTAGAGTGACATTGAACTGCCAGATGTCTGAAAGGAGGGAGTAGAAGCAAGGGGTGGTAACCAAGAGCAGGCACTAAAATTCAGCAAGCCTAGATTTGTACCCCAACTTCCCTCTCAGTGCCATGAAGCCCTTATTGCTCATCCTTAACTGGAAATACTCATAGCACCTGTTTCATAGTTGTGAAGAAGTAGTGAGACTATCTCAAATGAGGATTTGAGATAGAAAGCTTTTAGTTACTCATCTTGGCATCACAGTTACTATTTGTGTCATCCCAGGACCTCAGGAGGAGAGGAAAACCCTTTATTCACCACCTTTCCATATGCCCTGTCTACTTTGAGTATAAAGGTTAATTTGTCCTTAAAAGAGTTGTCCCTGAGTTCAAGTTCCTGGAGGAACTAGGGCACTGGGGCTTGAACTCAGGACTTAATGCTTGCTAGGCAGGTGCTCTACCACTTGAGGCCCTTTAGCAGCACTGTTTTGTGTTGGGTATTTTTGAGATAGGGTCTCACCACTGTGTGCCCAGGCTAGCTATGATCCATGATCCTCCTGATCTCTGATTCCAAGTATCTAGGATTACAGGCGTGAGCCACCGGTGCCTGGCAGGAGTAACTTTCTTAAGATTTCTGTATCTGCAGCACAAGAGTGTTAGAAATGGATGCTTACCCTAGAATCCTGTCCAGATTGGAGATTGGGGAAGTGTGATAGTGCTTTCTCTTACAGCACAGATTGTGCTCTCTAAAACCTCTGCTTTAGATGAACTTAGCTGAAATATGTCTTCAGGGAGAATCTTTGTTTATTTGGGGAATCATTAGGTTTGCATATTTTAGTATAGCACTATCTATAGATTTGTTGCCTGCCTATATAAAAAGGTTAGGAAACTAAATTTACTATTTGTTTGGGAAAAATTAGGGAGATATTAACTGTAATGCTATTGTTTTCTTTCAGAAAACTTTCCCCTCTCAGATCTGATGACAGAGATCAGTACTGGTGTGGAAACTACTGCAAATAGCAGCACGTCTCTGAGGTACATTCTTTTTTATTTGCTGGAAGTTTATCAGCATGTCTATTTTTATAGGTAAATTACAGCTTAATAAATAAAAGTGATAATGAAATGTAAAGATTGAAGGCAAAAAATAAAAATCAAAAATCAAAAAAAAATTTTGTATAAAATGTATGAGGTTATCAAATTAGGATTTTTTTTAAAACTACTTTGCTGCTTGATACGGTGTCACGTAACTGTAACCCCAGCGTTTGGTAAGGGATGAGGATTGAGTTCGAGGTAGCCTGATCTACACAGCAAGACCCTGTCTCAAAAATAAAAATCACTTTATGAATTGCTATTATATGACTGATATACAAAAAGTTGTATATATTTAATGTATTCAACTTGATGAGTTTGGAGGTATTCATTGATGAAACCATCCTCACTACAGTTGAAGCCATAAACATCCGTAACCTCCAAAAGTTTTCTCCCACCTACTTTATGTACTATTATTACTGTTTTTTGATAAGAACACTAAACATAAGATCTATTCTCTTAGCAAAGTATACAGCACAGTATTACTAGCTTTGGCCATATGATCTCCAGGACTTTGTACCCTTTCATTAATACCTACCCATTTCCCTTCTCTCTCCAGCCCCATTGTACTCTCTGCCTCTGTGAATTTGATTGTTTAGGCTCATCATATAAACAGTATCATGTGGAATTTGCCTTTTTGTGCCTGGTTTATTTCGCTTCGCATAATGTCCCCCAGGTTCATCTATATTGTTGTAAATAGCAGGATTTTCTTTTTTTGAGGCTGAATAATACTGTGTTGTATGTATGTTTCATAATATCTTTATATGCTCATTCATTGATGAACCTGTGGGTTGCTTCTGTGTCTTGGCTATTGTAAATAGTGCTTCAGTGAACATGGGGTACACATAACTCTTTCAGATCCTGATTTCATTCCTTTGGATTGCTGCGTTGTGTGGTTGTTCTCTTTACTTCTTTGAGAACTGCCTTACTAATTTCCATAGTGGCTGCACCAATTATATCTCCACCAACAGTGTACAGTGGTTCTTTGTTCTCTATGTTCTTGCCAACACTCACCTTTGGTTTTTTTTGTTTTTTTAAATGGTCATCCTCACAGGTAAAAAGTGGATAGGTCACTGTGTTTTTAATTTGCATTTTCCTAATGATTAGCAATATTGAGCACCTTAGCAAGGATTTTTAATGGTATAATTAATTGCTACTTTATATAAAAAAATAGAGAAATGGAAGAAATTAAGTATTAAAGAAGACTGTGCTAATAGCAATATTAAATAGAAATAATGAGTTAAATTGGAAAAAAAATTGTAAGTAAATAGTAATTAAAATATCCTAATCTAATGAGCTATTTAATGGGGAAATATTTCTAAGTAAAATGTGATACCAACTTTATTCTTACAATAAAATTCCTATTTTACCTGCTGTACACAAAAAGGATAAAAAGAAAATAAGCTGATTACAAGAATAGTAATGATGTATTTGTAGAGGCTTTATAATTTTCCAGGCTTTTTCCTTGCTGGGTTTGGTTTATAATTCCAAGAGTTAAATTAATCATCCTTGTTTGACCAGTGAAATAAAATAGGCCCACACAGGTAGTTCTTCAGCCTCACACATCCAGTAAATGCAGGAGAAAGCAATCTGAATGCAGGCCTGTGCATACAAATGCTAACTTCATTTCTTCTGTCACAGAGCTGCCTTCAAACTTCATATTTTACCTTTCAGTTCCTTCTGTTGACATGTTGTGATTCTAATTGCATGTAGGATTAATTTCTTCTGACATCGTTAGATTATTGTTGAAACAAAGTTAGTAGAGATAGTTTATTTTAACATTAGTTTGTTTTGATGATACTGGGGTTTGAACTCGGTGCTTCACACTTGCCAGGCAGGTACTCACCACTTGAAATTTTAATTTTTTTTTTTTGTTTGAGGAGAGGACAAGTCATCCTTAAAGCATTCTATAAAACTGTCTTGTTGTTTATTTTTTGAGACAGATTTCTTTACGTAGCCAGGCTGACCTCAAATTCTGAATCTTTCTGCCTCCACCTCCTGAGTGCTGGTATCACCACGGTAGTGCACCACCATGCCTGGCTCAGCTTCTATGCTTCTTATGTGGAAGTATTTTAAGACAGATATAATAACATTCCAAATATATCAGTATGCATCTCTGAAAAGTAAGAACACTTTTCAGATAGCTCAAGGGAGTATCACAGTAGTAAAGTTAGTAATCTCAGTGCATATTCAGATTTCTGCATTTTCCCTAAAATCCTTCACAGTTTTTATTTTTTTGTTTTGTTTTGTTTTTTTTCCCCAAAGCAGAGTTCGCTCTAGGACCATATATCTGGTATTACCTCCTTTGGTCTCTTTTAATCCAGAACATTCCTTTTTCTTTTCTTTATGACACTTGTTGAAGAGGTAAATTTTTCTAGCACTCGTTTGGAAGAGATTTTTAACTATCTGAAAATGTTTTTGTTGTGGTTTTAATCTTTTTTGCGCAAAAGTTGTAAAATACTGTCTGGCTATAAAAGTTTGGTAGATTAGCACAGTTTAGAATTGTCTTGGAGACCGAATTACTCTGGAGTTTATTTTTAATGTCTTGAAAGATTAACTCTGCTGCTTTTGCTAAATAAAAAACGTGTGGTATTAAATAGCCCCCAGCTTGCAGCATCACAGAATAACATGAGTACTTTTGGATGGCTTGGCTTGTGTACCTCACTCTTCCAGAAGAGTGGCTACTGACTTTAGCACCTACTGCCTGGTCACAGCTGGAGGGCTTTGGTTCTGCCAAGGTGTAGATCTGCATTACCTCAATTGAGGGGGACACTTCCAGACTAATAACTTCCACACCTCCAGTCCTGACTTCTGAAAAAAAGTTATGCCTGGAATTTCCATACTGGGCGTACATGATTCCTGTTTGCACTGTTTGTGTTCCTTCCTGTTTCTACTCCTGCCCCAGTATAGTTTCCACTGTGCTAGGATTCCCCAGCCTCTGACAGCTACACTTCTGTTCCTTATAAAAGGGAGACTAAGTGAAAGTTCCATAGCTGGCTGGTAGATTCTCAGATGGCCTTTCTACTCCATTTCCCCTGTGGTTTTTTCCTAAGCATATTTTTTTGAGCCTGTCTTTGTTAACTTAAAAAAGCCTGGCCCCAGTAATGTAAGTATTGTAACTGGACCAAGTGTTGTTAGGCACCAGCAGCACAGGTTCCAGAAAGAAGATTCTGAGCAGACTGACACATTGGTTCTTCTCAACCACTTCTGGCAACAGGTCCCCTTGGTGTTCTCACACTGCATATGAGGGACATCGACTCTCAGGTATCTGGACTAAAAAGACCTTTCTTTTCTTAAGATCCACAACTCTTGAAAAAGAAGTTCCAGTCATCTTCATCCACCCTTTAAACACTGGATTGTTCCGAATAAAAATTCAAGGAGCCACAGGAAAATTTAACATGGTTATCCCTCTTATGGATGGGATGATAGTCAGCCGGCGAGCACTCGGTAAGGTCTTTTTTACATGTGCAGAAGCGCTAAGGTTTCTTTTCTTCTTTTTTTTTTTTCCTCTCACCCCATGTGTCCCCATTCACAATACAGACCAGGTACAGGGCAGAGTTGAGGCATATATGGGGTAGGTTTCCTTTGCCTCCTCTTTCTAGACACAGCCTGTGGTAAACACAAGGAGGTCTCTTTCCTTCTTTTATAAACCAAAAAGAAGTAAAAATAAGGAAACAGTGCTATTACTTAATAGGTTCCATGTGTATAAAATGTTATGGCCCTTGTTGAAAGGGGAGTGTGTTTTGGTCTGTTTTAAACTGTCTTTTTGTTTGTTTGTTTTGCTGTGCTAGGGATGGAACCCAGGGCCTTGTGCATGCTGGGATGCTGGGCAAATACTCTACTGCTGAGCTCCACCCTCAGCCTTTAAACTGTGTTTAATCTAGCAAATACAGTGGGAGGTCACAGAGTTCTAGGATTAGAAAAGGAAGAGAGCTGTTTGTAATCCAGCACACGACGTGGGTTGTCAGAACAGATTTTGTTCTAATTTTCCATGTTAGTATGTCTTTGTTTTGACAGTTTTTCCTAGAGTTGTGTCTGTCTCACTGGGGATGGGAAATTATTCAATTGAAATGAAATAGCTTGAGTTTTCAGAGACTAGTTCACCTGAACACCAAGAGTTCACTTAACTGGTTATTGACAGTTATTTTAACCCTTGTTTTCAAGGCTTTCTGGTGAGGCAGACTGTAATCAACATTTGTAGAAGAAAGAGACTTGAGAGTGACTCCTATAGTCCACCACATGTCCGCCGGAAACAGAAAATTACCGACATTGTCAACAAGTACCGGAACAAGCAGCTGGAGCCAGAGTTTTATACTTCACTTTTCCAGGAGGTTGGACTCAAGAGCTGCAGTTCTTAGACCACTATCTGAACTCCATTGTGGGACTGTACTATCAAAGCAAGAGAGTTTGATAGGTGATCACTGTAAAAATAAAAACAAATCACTCCCCCAAGAGCTTGCTGTTTAATCACCAGAATAGAAGAAACACATTGTAAACCCATTGGATAGAAGACTTTCAGCTTTCTAGTGAAATGGGCTCCCAGACACAATCATATTCCTGCTGGTAATGATGATAAACATTTTAGCCATAAACTTTATTTTAAAAGTGACAATTTTAGTTAAATACAAGCCTTTTGAGGAGAAAGGCTTTTATAGCACCTCAGTTAAACACATGCATTGATAGTATTGACAAATTTGCAAATTAGAAGTTGAAGATAGTTTTATACCTCACTTTTTAGGAGGTTGTATTCAAAATTAAAATCTGTTTCAGAATCTTCCAGGACATTTAAAGACTCCACTTGACAGTATGGAGGAGAAGGAAAGAAGTCTCAGCCTTCTGCTCACTTGTAGGTCCATTTGTCATCCAACTGTCAAAATGACAAGAAAACAAAATGTTTTTTGCTCAGATAAGAAGTCTGACATTAAAATATTTCATATTTTCTCTCCATATTTAAAAAGTCATCATTCTCATCACTGCGCAGATCTGTCTGAGAGCCTCAGCTTCTGACGAAACAGATCTGAGGTGGAGGCACAGCCTTGTCCCCTAGGGAAGATACTAATGCAATTTGTGAGACTAAAAGCTGTAAGATGGCAGTGATTCCTCCACTCCTTCCATTATTGTCCAGCTTGGTGACATAATGATAGGTTAAAACTTTGTGATTCCCTGATTAAATATTAAAAGATGTAAATTCACAGTAGGGGCTGACAATTACTGGTTTCATCCATTACCTCTTATTTCAGGGCCAAGCAGCAAACTGCAGTAGTTGCTGAAGGATTCTACTTTGTGTTTCTGGAAGCAGCCTCACTCCAGCTTTCCCCCAGAGAGCTCCTGGATTGCATCAGTTGACAGATATCTGCAGCCATCTCCTTGGATGGCTGCTGTTGTCATGTTTTCTGGCCTTGGCCATGTAAAGGCATGACAAATCTCTGCCAGGGCTTTGGAAATATTTCTGTTACCTCGCTGCTACTCTTCTGCCAGGGACAAAACTTTGAAGGTGGCCAGACCCAGACCATCCTTATAAGGATTCCTGTTATACTGCTCTGTGTACACCACTCCTCTCTCCTATTTTTATGTGCTTTCTTCTTTAGTAAGGTTATTTTGTCTAAAAAGCAACTGACATTTGAAGTCCAAAGAATGATGAGAGTTGTGCAGGAGTGTTTCCCACTGGCACTCTGGTGCCAGCAGGTCTGTAGGTCAAGACCACACTAGTCTCTTCATTTTGACGTTTTGGTGATTTTCTTACAGGGTTGGGGATAGTGTTGGACCTCATTCCCTGTGCAGATATCTCTGTTCCAGATGTATGTGTTTTGCCATCTCCGAGCAAGAAATGTGGGCATAGCAGTTCTTAGTCTGCACATCCCCTCTTCTTCATATTTGTTTTCAGCTCAGGTACAGATACCCTCCTCCACCTCATCCTCCCCCCTGTGACTCTAGTGTTCAGTTCCAGTCAGGGAATAGTAGTATTCAATCACTAATTTGGGGTTTTGTTTTGTTTTGTTTTTGAGGTATTTCCAGATGGTAGTACGGAAAGGGGGTATGTGTGGTCAAGATTAACAAGTTCTACCCTAAGAATGTTTTAGAAGCTCAGTAAGACTAGGTAAAGATTAACAACTTTCAAGAAAATTCCAGATTAACACTTCAGAGGGAAAATGGACCCTTGTTCTAGTTGAGTTGAACAAGAAAGGCTATAAATGACTGTGCAACTTAACATTCCAGAAGTTAAAAATAATTGGTCATGATGTACTTCCTCATTATGACTCTTCAAGATAAGTCTTTTACTTTGGCCATAGTTTGAATGAAATATCAGAAAAATGTACAGTGTGTGTGTATTGGGAATGGACTTGCTGGTCCTACAAGTTGGCTCCAATTTCTGGCAATTCTGTTGACTTTGTTGGGATCTGGGAGGCTAGGTAGTTCCTTGGGATGTACAAGCCTCTCCAGGTGCTAGTTTCTTTTGCACAGAATTCCATCTGCCTGGGAAGCAAGTGTTGTAAGAACCCTTTCACTCGTATTGGAGTTCATGGTCACTAACTTTACTCAACTGTTTTGTTAAAAGTCACTTGAGTAGAATGCTAGAGGAGCATATTTAATACCTAACAATAGTCTTTAGTAGTCCACTTGAGAAATTTCCCAGCACATGTTCAAAATCGTGGGAGGAGCTAGGACCACTCTGGGCTGTGGCTTAGACAGTTCATTTGCTACATGTGTTGGGTGCCAGAAGGTAAAGTGAGTGTGGCCTTCTTGGAAGAGGAAGGCATTACCCAGGAGGCAATCGGGTTGTCCCTCTTGCTCCCTTCTGAAGTTGTAGGGAGTACTAAGGACAGAGGGAAGTGCTCTTACCTTTTAAATCCTTTTCATTGTTAGCCACCACCCTTTTGTCCAGAGCTTCCACCACTGTCCTTTGGGAATAGTTACATGGTGAGACAGGCCTCCCCAGCCACATACACATGTATGCACACACATGCACGTGAGCATTTTCCTTCTTCAGATCCTCTATTTTAGCACAGCCTGTACAAAATACCCACATCTTTGTCTGGCGGTGTCAGTTGCCCACAGGTAGAGTATGAGGTCTCCACAAATGGTTCCTTCCTATGTGTGCCGGAGAAGCATTTGTCAGTCTCTTTGGACTGATTTCTCTGAAGAGTGGAGCCTCACTCAGAGTGAGAGCAACCTTGCACAAAGTGTGTTTTGTGGTAAATGGTGAAACATGTCCTGGAGGTCACTGGGCTCCTGATGGTGGTGGTTCTCCATTAGTACTTAAAACCTAGTAGCAAGTGGGATCTTCCTGAAAGCAGAGGTGTATGTTTACATGAAGTGATCCTAGGAGTCAGCACATCTGTTTTCAGCATTCCCTGACAGCCTCTCTGCCTGTGGTGGAGACATTGGGGGTTTAGGGGAGTGGGGAATCTACCTGGACAGTATAGAGTCAGACACAGCCATGCACTGTGTAGTGTTTTCTCAGAATATCAATCCTTGTTCTTCAGATGCTTTCTGGCTTTTACTTTTTTC